TCTAACAGAAATAAACGTTTTTGATATAATTTAGTTTCTCCATTCTTTTACGTACTTATTTACTTCCTTTGATGACACCAAGTTCTCTTTTTATTTAGTTTTGTATCTAGACCAAATAAAAACAAAAGTGTACCAATATTTAAGCATGGTAATTGTTGCGTTTATGCCACAATGTTTGACATAATTACCCAACACATCCTGTGGATTTACTGTAACATTATTAAATTATAAATGTAAAAAAATTAAAGCACAATAATTATGTTGCTTAAATGTAATTAAAGAATAATGTACAGGGTTGTCCGAACTGTATTCCGTATTTCCGTATTTTATGTATAATTTAAAAAAATAAAAATTTCCCAAATTTATTATTTCAGTCAAATAACGATCTACTCAACGTTTTTATGTATTGACTATTTCCATTCTCAATATCCTGAGAACGGTTGCTCGTAGCAATTCTTACCAAGAGACCTTTTTTACGTAAAAAGTCACGAAAATGTATATTTTTTCACTCAGTAGTTTTATAAAGGTACAGGCGAAAAGTTATTACACTTCAAAACAGTTAAAATACATGTAGGTGGCACCCTCTACGAAAAGGAGTCATATTGACATCAAAATCAAATCTCTTAAGTCAAAAAACTCCCAGACACTAATTTTCATCCAAATATTGACGTTACTTCAGAAATTATTTGGGAAAAACAAAATAAAAATGATATTTCTATACCCTGTATCTCCGAATTTTAGGACATACATTTATACAAACTTTTTTACATATTTTTATCTGTTTGGACCATCCTGTATATGTTTAATACTTTATACTGTAATACGTGTCATATGATCGAAAAAAAAACTGCGTCTAAGATGGCTGAGCCATAACAATCGATAAAAATTTTGGCTGGGTCAATCTCTAGACGTAATTTTTTTCGAGCTTTAAATTGCACCGTTTAAAAATCATTTTTACTCAATATAAAAATAAATCACAACCATCTTAAAGCCAACTGAAAAATAAATACTAGTTTATGGCTTGACCTCTCCAAAATCTCCCCGTCTTTGACGCCGTTTTTTTTTTCTCGATCGTATAGAGTACTATGACAATTATTTCTGTATAATGTCAAAAACGACTTTTGTTTTTCATATCCTTTGTATACAACGCCCACTTGTTTTTTCATTAACTGTGAGAAAAAGACATTTTTTTATCAAACAATGCGGCCCAGTGAAACCGAAAGTAAACACACTTCTAAGGCCGTCGGCATATTGTTATTATTTATCATTTCGTTTGCTAATTTCAGCAACCAGTCTAATTGTTCTTGAGGGAAAACCTAACTCTCTGGCTATTCTAGAATACAAATAAAAATGTCCAATGCAAATTTTTCATTGTTTTATTGTTAGCTCACCAACGCCAGGGGTTGGAGATTTTCTCACACAACTTTTTGTTCACATCTCTTTGGTAACTTTTGCGCAATGCTCTGTATGGCATACAATGAATGCCATGTTTTGCATCGATCATAAAAAAATATTTTTTAATTGTTATACGGTGTTGAGTGCAGTACGATTAAAAAATATGTATTGTAAAATATAAAAAAATAAATACAAAAATAAATAAGGTATATAAAGAATAATAAGTTTAAATCTGTGTACAGCCAGTCTCTAGATATCTAGATATCTATTGCCAAGAAAAGAAGAAAAGAAATAGTATACAGAGTGAATTTTTAAAATGTTTTTGAAATATAACCGTAAAACCAAAAAAGCTTCGGAATTTGTGCAAAATCTAATGTATGTATTAGGATGTATTTCAGGAAAATAATTTAACCTCTATGATGTTTAGGATGTTTCTTTTAAATAGAGTACCCTGTATAATATTGCATTTTTCGCTTCCTTTTTACATAATCCTAAGATATTTGTTTTTATATTTATGTTTTGATAGTTTCGAGTATATTAATAATTAAATAAAAAAAAATTTTTTTTCGGCCTTTTTTAAAAAAATTATTAAAAAAGTTCCTGAAATCAAAACTATATTAGGTATTTACTTTAGATGGTCTGTACATATTTTTCTATAAATATCGTACTCTTAAACCATACAGGGTGTTTAAAATTCTACGCCAAACTTTCTAAAATATAAAATAATTTTTATTCGTTTTTTTTTAAATGGAACACATTGTATATTATTTTTTTAATAGATGGAAAGTTAAAAAAGGGACATTTTTTATTTAAAGTATTTCAAAATTTTTAACAGTTTCGCTGATACACGCAGTATTATTTCATATGGCCATATGGCATTGGGTGGCTTTGATAAAAATTTACTGTGGAAAATGCCTTATTATTATAAAACCGCGAATAGCTGCAAAACCGTTAAAAATTTTGAAATACTCTAAACACAAAGAATGTTCGTTTTTGAATTTTCCATTTATTAAAAAAATAATATACAGGATGTTTCTTTTAAAAAAATGAAAGAAAATTTATTTTATATTTTAGAAAGTTTGGCGTAGAATTTTGAACATCCTGTATGATTGAAGATTAGGATATTTATAGCAAAGTAAGTACAGACCATCCTACCAGTAAATACGTAATACCGTTTTGATTTCAGGACATTTCTTGTATTTTTAATACTGTTTTTAAGAAAGGCTGAAATATACATATACAGGGTTGTTCACCACATACGACACGGAGTATTGTGTCTAAACGATGATATTTTTACAAATTGTAAGTTTGGGGTTCGTTGAAGGACTATTAGAGCTACAATCTAAAAATATTTTTACAAGATACAGAGTGTCCCAAATAAATAAAAAATATCAAAGTTGTATTTTTTTAAATGGAACACCCTGTATATTATTACATTTTTAGTTTCTACGATTAAAATAAAGGTAAATTTGATTAAGGTTTATTATACTTAAACATTACGTTTTTGAAATATTTTCAATTTTGTGAAATTGCAGTAAAAATTTTAAAGCTTTATTTCTCCAAGGGTATCAATGTTTTTAATACTAAATATTTAATGAAGTTTATTTATTGATCAGTTATTGTGTTGCAATAATAAAAATAATACTACTTTATAGAGAGTGTCTAAAAATTTACTTTAAATAATTATTAACTTCAAACGGCAACAACTTCTTTAATTTAAATAGAATGCCCTGTATATTTTAGGAGAATCAGATGCACAATTAAATTGTCTATCAAATTGCATTATACCATTTTTTACCTATCCCTTCAAGTTTTAGTAGAAAATGCATTTTCTTATAATTTAGACCTCATTTATCAATATATCCATGGAATATTGACATTTTAGATTGTTTTTAAAGCAACAAATGTACAAAATGTACAGACTAGTAATATTATCGTTTTTAGCAAAACGATAATATTACTAGCCCATTTGTATGCAAAAAAGAAAACTATTTAAATCTTTATAAAGAGTATACCATTAATTAAATATAACCCCATTATTTCCGCCCATATACTAATTAATTACATACTTAATTGTGTTTGTTAATAAATTATTATAATAAATGTGGATTTTTGAGTCAGAAATCAATATAATAATAAGTTATCAAATTAAAGTCTTTGTTGTTATAAATAAGCATTTATTAAAAAATGAAATATCATTTTTAAGGTGTTACTTTTTATCACACTATCTAATGCCCATACAAAATTCAGTTTTTTAGTATTTGGAGCAATTATTATTAATCAACGCAAACAGTCAGTTAATGTAGTTTGAATACGGCATCATATTAATTGGTCCTCTTTAACAAATATTTAAACAGTTTTTTTTTTATTTTTTAATGAAATAAACGAATTATATCGACAATATTAGTATCTGTACTCTTTAAAAATTTGGTACATCTTTAAAAATGACCTAAAATGTCAATAGTCCATGGGTATATTGATAAATAAGTTCTAAATTACAAGAAAATGCATTTTCTACGGAAACTTAAAGAGATAGGTAAAAAATGGTTTAATATAATTTGATAGACAATTAAATTGTGCATCTGATTCTAGTAAAATATACAGGGTGTTCCATTTAAATTAAACAAGTTATTGCCGTTTGAAGCTAATAATTATTTAAAATAAATTTTTAGACACTCTGTATAAGGTAGTATTATTTTTATTATTACTACACAATAACTGATCACTAAATAAACTTCAGTAAATATTTAGTATCAAAAATTTTGATACCCTTGGAGAAATGAAGCCTTAAAATTTTTACTGCAATTTCACAAAATTGAAAATATTTCAAAAACGGTAAGTATAATAAATCTTAATCAAATTTACCTTTATTTTAATCGTAGAAACTAAAAATGTAATAATATACAGGGTGTTCCATTTAAAAAATAAAACTTTGATATTTTTTACTTATTTGGGACACTCTGTATCTTGTAAAATTATTTTTAAATTGTACCTCTAATAGTCCTTCATCGAACCCAAAACTTACAATTTGTAAAAATCTCATCGTTTAGCTACAATACTCCGTGTCGTATGTGGTGAACAACACTGTATATATGTTTTTTAATTATTTATCTATAACTCTGAAACTATTAAAATATATTTAATCAGATCTTAGGATTATGCAAAATGATCAAAAAGGAAGCCAAAAATGCAATAACATGCAGGGTGTTCCATTTAAGAAAAATCATCCCAATCCACTCACACTTTTTTGAGCCACCCTGTAGAAGATAAAATATTTTCCTGAAATACATCCTGGTACATACTTTAGATTTGCACTTAAACAAAATTTCTAACTTTTTTATTATAGAAGCTGCAGATGCCCGATACTTTTACCGGACCCGGTATAATTTAATACATAATAAAATAATGAAAAAATCTGGAAACTTTTGCACTAAATCTAGAGACTGTTAAAAAACATAAACAAGAGCTATTTACAATCAGTTCAATAGAAAAAATTAACTATTTACTCCATGTATTCCATTTCTTCCTCTTTGAATCTCTTCGTCCGGGCTCCATATCTTCTTTTAGAGCTATTTTCTTCTTCTCCGTCGTCTTCTCAAGGATCTCTACATTTCGACAGGCGATTTCCTGTATTGAGGTGTCGTGGCTGTTGCTAGAGGCTGTGAATCGCTGTCTTCCTCAATAGGGAGGGCTGGATTCATGGCTAACTGTAGCATCCTCAAAAGAAGCATTTCCCTGACTTCTACAGGCAGGTATTCTTCTGTTTGTGATTGTTCTGGAACAAAAAAGAAACAAGTTAATGCATGTAATATTATCATAGTATTAAACTAATACCATTTTGTTTTATTAGAAGTAAAAATGATGGTTACTGTGGCGAGACTGTCACAAGAAAAGTCATTTTTAATCCGAATAGAACATGCTGTTTTTTTCAAACGACACAAATAATTTTTTAAACAACTTCAAATTATTTAAATAAATTCCGTATATTAGAAACTATCTCCAAAGCTTAAAATCGCTTATTTTAATGTATTGTCACTGAAAAATAAGTATATACAGGGCGATTAAAAATTACGTATAATTATTTCTCCCTTATTCCAAATAGAACACCCATAATTTATATCATAAATCAACACAGCTTTTATTCAATTTTATGTTTATTGAACACCTCGTACAGTGTTTTTTTTTCAACATGATATGATATTTTTTATTTTGCGAAAGCTTTAAATCTTAAAAAATTAATATAAAGACTAGTATATTTCTTAAACATCTAAGTACAACATAATACAAATTTCGAATAAAAATGTATTTCTCCATTTTCCCTGTATATTTTGAAGATATCATGAACCTTTTTAGAATACTGTGTCACCCTGAATATAGAAATATACAGTATGTATCCGGAGTGTCTTTACTAGAAGATTTTTTTTTATTATCGACATTTTGAAAAAAAATGCATTCTTCATAAAAACTTTTGCTTGGTCTAACCCTCCCCTCCCCCCCTGATTATAGTTTTCTAAATATCCATACAGTTTTAGAGAAAATTTAAAAAAAATTGAAAATGTAGTTGGATTTCTTCCAAGTCCTAAAAATTTCATTAATATAATTTCGATTTCATTCTTTGATAGATCGCTATAATTAATTTTGAATAATGTCATATTTTTGATGTTGTTAAAATGTCACATTTTTCGATAACTATTATCACCCTTTCCGTAGCATTGAACTAAATTAAAACTACACACACAAATATACTACACACACGAAATTATACTACACACACAAACGTGAACTACCACTTCTGTGGTAGTTCAGGCGTTTTGATTTTTAGGACTAGAAAAAAAATCAACTACATTTTCATTTTTTTTTTAATTTTCTCTAAAACGGTATGGAAATTTAGAAAATTATAAACGAGATTAACCATTTTAGAACAAGCAATATTTTTTATGAAGAATACATTTTTCTCAAAATGTCAATAATAAAGAAGTTTTTTTCTTTTTGTAAAGACAATCCGAGGACATACTGTATACCATACAGTATCGTTAATACATTCATTTGTAGCATTTTCTTAAAAAACTACAGAAATAACTTTATTTAAAAAAAAGCTACTAAATATATATTTTAAGCAATATTTAATAAAAAAAATCTTAAGTGTTTTACTAAAACTTTTAGAAATTTAAGAATTATTTCTTACTATACACATTTTACATGAATTCACTTAATATTAATCAAAATAAAACTAGTAAAAATGATCTAGAACTGACCTTGTTTGTATACAGGGGCATGTACAGGACTCTGAGCTCTCCCAATCCTTGTCAAAGTATACGGCCTCTCGTACCTCACAGCCGGCCTGTGAGGCAAATTGTTCTCACCCTCCCTGCCATCTTGCACTCTCTGGTAAGCATACCTCACCATGGACTCTTGAGGATTAGGAGATGCCACTCTTTGAACGTAGTAAGCTTGAGGTGTTGGTTGAGGATGCACTATTTGAGGCTGCAATCTCGCATGAGTCAGCGCACTGATTCGTTCCAGTTGTTTCTGCCTTACTATCAGCTGATTCAGCAACTTCTGGAAGTCCCTTGTACTCACAGGAGGTTGGATTCGATCAATATCGTTATCAACATCGTTATTGACGTATCTAACAGGTAAAACTGGAATATGTCGTACTGGAACTGGAGTAACAGGCACTGGTAAAGGATATGGAGTTGGTACACTTGCTGGCATATCTCTGATATACCCATTTTCATCTACCTGAACTGGCAAAGGCCTCAAAGGAGGTGGCTGAACCCTCCTCACATTCTGTTTCTCAATTTCAACAACATTTTGAGGTTGCTGATAACTGTGGTACTGCCTCCTAGCTTCCTGTACCTCCTGCATATTCTCTACAGGTATTATACGACCCTGAAGTTGACTCAGAGGCACCAAAATGGCCCCTCGTTGGAAAGGATGACGTACAGCAACCAGAGGTTCAGGAGAATCACCTCCGTTTGGAGGAATTTGCACTACAGGAGTTACTGTAGGAGATCCAGTAGTCGTGGAAGCTTCTTCAGTTGATGGAGCATATTCTGTGCTTCTTGATTCGATTTGTTGTAGGTTTTCTCTTTGGTAGTTAGCTACGTAGCTGACAGTGGGCCTGGAAATAGCTACAGGACTTGAAGTGGTGCTTGAAATTACAGGAAACACTCTAGTTGAACGTGAGGTAGTGAAAAGAGGTCTTGGAGTAACACTGGCATCGTTATTATACACATCAACCATATCACCATCTCCTAGAGATTGTTTTACGTTAAAAATATGCTCATTTGGGTTAAAACCACTTTGTCTGGGTTCATGAGGTAGCTGTCTTCTCAGAATATTGTTTCTAACATCAGAAACATCCTCATTTACTGGTTTCTCCAGCTCAAACTTCTTGTTAATCAAACTTTTCAACACCGGAAGTTCTGTAGGCTTCTCTGAACTGACCTCAGGTCGAATAAGTTGACCTTCTGATGATTTAAGTAAAGAATTCTTTAAGGCTAGTGACGTAGAAGGTCTTTGGAGCAAAACTCTAGGTGAAGCTGATGAGTATATTATTGTGCTTGGTTTAGAGGTTGTCTTAAGTGCTTCGATATTGTTGTAATTTGGTCTGCGTGTAGTACTGCTAGCTCTTCGCTGCTTGCTATGCTTTGAATGACACTTTCTGTGGTCGTTGATGATGTTTGGTCTGTAGAAGTAGACACTGTAGGCCTTCTGGTAGATGATGTAATATAATTCTCTTTGTTTTTGTCTTGCGAAAGAGGTTGATGTTTAGAAAACACTTCACTGGCATTGTTTGAACTATACGAAACTCTTTTTAACTTTACCTTCATCATCAACGAAACCATAAGTACCTTTAATATTCCCCAGTACATCTCTGCTTTCAATTTTAAAAGAACCATCATCAGCTTCGTATCCAATGGTATACGATCCATCAGGATTAACTTTTTTGATCCTTTTCACAATTTCTAACGTTCCATCTTTAGTTTCTGATTGCACTAGTTCTTCTGTTTCTTCCTTAGGGGTTGTTGAAGTTGGTTCAGTTTTAAGTTCTTTTTCGGTAGTACTGCTACATGTTTGAAGCACTGATATTAAGAAGAGAATAAGAAAAATCTGAAAGGAAATGAATTAGTGTTAAAGAGGTCGTGATTGGGTAGTACTAGATCGTGAAATAACACAGGTGAAGAATATTTATGTATATAAGGATGTCTTAAAGGTCAAAAATCAATTACAAAGTCGACTAAATGTGCGTGTATATATTTTTGAGTGATAAGGTACCACTCACCTGCTTTTTGTAAAGCATCTTGGCACGATGTCATCTGAAGAACGATCTATCAAACTAACTCGTGCACCATGCGGGATCCCTATATAACCTGGGGTACTTCTTCAGAGATCGCTCGAGTGGGGAAAGTACCGTCTTGTGGTACTACCGTCGATCTGCGCGTCTCGGAGCTTTTACGCTCTTTGTTATGATTTTTTTTCTTGTTTACTTTTCCTTTTTATTGCTCGAAAAAATTACTGCATTGTTATGGGGTATAATCGAAAATAAATATAAGTAAGTAGGTTATAAAAAATATTTGGGTTTATTTTGATTTTTGTGTTGATGCATTTTTAATTTAAATATTTGATTTTTATTATATTTATACAAGGTGTTTTATATTGTCTACAACATTCAAGAGGTTTTTGGAATTATGATAAAAAAATAAGGTTTTCCGTATTAACTTTTTTTCGGTCATTTCCCGTTTTACCGGAAATGACTACAACTTTTGATTTTTTAATGGCACAATTTTTTTCATTATTCGATAGAAAATGACACTCTCTGAATAGAATGGCATATCATATGTCAACTTTTGACGTTTTTGCTTAAAACAAAATTTTATTTTAAATTTCAGTCTAGAGAGCCATGGCTGTGTTAAAAACACTAATTTTTAATCAAGGAGCCTTGGAAAAATACACACACCGGAAAAATCTAGGGATATCATTTTATTAAAGTTAAAAATAAATGTTTTGAATAAACAACCACGCATTTGTAGGCCGATTCTTTCTACTTCGATTGAAACGAAGTAGTCGCACTAGTTATTTCTAAATTTGGAATATTTGCAGAAGTGTTTGTGAATTTTTTGTCAAATGTATAAAAAGCACCTAGCATCAATTGTTCGAATTTAACCTGTACTGGCTATGTTTTTATGATAACTGGCCAGAATTCATTCAAATAACTCTGTTTAGTATTAAACGACATTATGGAGCGTAGACATCTTAACAGAGACGAAATACTACGGGCCATGGGTATACTCGAAGCTGGAATGCGCCAAATCGACTTAGCTAGAGCATTAAATACAACGCAAAGTGTAATATCGCGATTAAGTGCACGCTACCGTGAAAGTGGTGATGTTGCTGAAAGGCACACAGGGCGACATCGCATTACTACCCCTCAGCAAGATCATTTTTTACAATTAAATGCTCGACGCCGACCGACTCTTACAGCACCAGAGCTTAGTTTAATTCTCGAGGAAACACATAATGTAACCATTAGTCCTGACACTGTTCGCAATAGATTAAGAGAGCTCAACTTAAGAAGCAGACGCCTCTGGAGAGCTCAACCTTTAACGAGAGGAAATCGAGAGGTACGATATTTGTGGGCTCAAGATCATGTTCAGTGGTCGAATGAACAATGGGCCAATGTTCTCTTCACGGATGAGTGACGCTTTGGAATTCATCCGGATTCGAGAAGGCTTAGGGTATGGAGAGAACTGGAAAATCTTATTCAGTTGGATCATGTTCAGGAAGTGCACCCTTATCAAGGTGGAAAAGTTATGGTCTGGGGAGGAGTCCAGTTAGGCCGAAAAACCGATCTCGTTTTTCTTGAAAAGTTTCTAACACGAATCACATATCGTGATTTAATTCTTGAGCCTGTCGTGTTACCATATGCCAATGATTTTGGGAAAAACATCATTCTCATGCATGACAATGCACGGCCTCATACAGCCAGAGTGGTAATTGAGTTTATCAATGCTCATCAATTAAACATCTTACCCTGGCCGGCACAATCTCCTGACCTCAACCCCATCGAGCACGTATGGGACTCGGTCCAAAGAAGAATTTTGAGAATGGGTATGCCTCGTGAAACTCGTAGGGATCTGGTTCGGGCCGTAAATGCAGCGTGGCAGGCTATACCTCAAGAAGAGATGACAACCTGATCAGGAGCATGGAGAGACGATGTAGGGCTGTAATGAACAGTAGAGGAGGCCATACCCTTTATTAAGTAAAAATGGTTTTATCTTTTTTTTTAATTCACAGTTTAGAATAAAAAAAAAATGTGTGTTTTTTTTGAATTCAATAAAAATCAAGGTAAATTTGAAAAATTCGGTAAATTTCGCATTTTTATTTCCAATACGTCATGTAAACTATTTGTTTATTTTAATTTTTTTATATCAGAAATGCAAATAATAAAATTACTGACGATGGCTGGATAAAATTGTAATATCCCTAGACTTTTCCGGTGTGTGTAGATTTGATCGTGTAATGTTTTTAGTGTCTTATCCTGGCCGCGCTTAAAATATGCCCAAATATCATATTTTTAATTACATCTCAATTTTTTCAAATGGAACAAGGGTGGCTCATTAGCATATTTGGCAAAATCATTTTTTTTACAAATAATTTGGTACCACATACTTGGTATTCCGAGTCAAATTGTCGTTATGAACCGCATGTTACAATTTTAAATAAACCATATGCAAAAATGTCAAAAGTTGACATATGATATGTTATTCTATTCAGAGTGTCAGTTTCTATCGAATAAAGTAAAAAAATACCGAGGGCGCCATTTAAAAATCAATAGTTATAGTAATTTCCGGTGAAACAGGAAGTGACCAAAAACAACTGAATACGTCAATCAATCCTAATTTGTGTCATATACTAGCATACCAAATCTCGTGTTTTTATCTTAAAAAATAAAAAAGTTATAGGGGTGAGCCATTTTTGAGACGCACCCGGTATATAACTTCAGATTCAAAAAAATCTAAAGTACAAAAAATAAATAATAAAAAAAACTTCTAGAAACTAAACTTTCAGGAAGAATTTATAGGAATATAATTGAAAGATCTTGAGATGCTTGCATTTTAAGTGAAAGCCAAGTGCAACAGTGAGAGGCACATCCTGTACGATAACCACAGGTATTCTTCAATAATTATCTATGAAATAATAGGAAACATATACGATTTTATTTGAAGTATCTCGGTTTTACGCAATTGGCGCAATTCAATTAAGAGAATCCATTTTGGCGCACGCGTTTTTCTATAACCTTCAGTCAAATTAAACAAATTCATTTAAAAAACAGCGATAATTTCGAAACTGCTTAATAGCAGGTACTGCCTAATAGTTCTTGGGCCATTTCTCACGCTCTATCTTTAATGGAGATCTTGCTTACTTGCTACTGTACAATAATTTACAGAAAGAATAGCTTAATAATCATAATAACTGTCCATTTGTTTCAACAAATAGCTCGAATTATAAGAGTCGTGGATTTAATGAGATTTAAAGTGGTCCAAATATATGTTAATTTGTTTAAATTGGACTTAGTTTTATAAAAAATTTATATTAATTATTTTACAAATTAAACATATTTTCTGTTTGTAGTTAAAGATATAAAATATATCACGTTTTTAGAGACATACAGGGTGGCCCATCGAAAACGTTCCGCAAGGCGTTGTCCAAAACACAAAGAAAATTGACGTGTTTTTGGATTTTTTGAAAAAAAAAATACCCTGGCCGTTACGCCTTGCGGAACGTTTTCGATGGGCCACCCTGTATATCTCTAAAAACGTGATATATTTTATATCTTTAACTACAAAGAGAAAACATGTTTATTTTATAAAATAATTAATATATTTTTTTTATAATAGCTAAGCCCAATTTAAACAAATTAACATGTTGACGAATTCGAGCTATTTGTTGAAACAACTGGACACTTATTATAATTATTAAACTATTCTTTCTTATCTTGTCATTTTAATTTAATATTTTTTTTATGAATATAAATTCAAATTCTTTCAAAATACTATTCATTCTTCTCTCCATGTATCAAACAGGAAATTAATAATAATAAAAAAATGTTTCTCCTGTATAATGTTTTCATATTTCGAACATATTAGACAAGTCAAAAATTTCACCGAGACAATCCTATTTTCTTTTCGTTTTCATGTATGTTTTGATAGGTTCTCAAGGAAACGGTATTGTTACGATTACAGAGGACTCTTTTCTGCATACGCAGCACACCTCATTATGTCGTAACAATAGCAGTTCTTTAATTAATAGTTTCTTAATTAAAGATGGCTTTTCTCACGGACATATATGGTGCATATAGTGCTTGGCATGTTTGTTTTTCATATAGTTTCTAAAATAATATAGAATTACGTAACAATATTTAAAGAAATAGCTTATAAGAGAGTAAAAAATATTACTGTAGGCGTTGGAAAAGACATTTCAGTTGGTAGAATTTTTTGTAATGAACAGAAGAGAGATTACGATATTTTCAAATATATATTATGGTATTTTTATTGTCATAAGAGTCTATTAACCTATTACGCTGTACTATAACCTATACCCCAAGCACGTGATTAAGGCTTGACTAAGGTTTGTAGAGCTTCAGCATTTGCCATAAAATAGCCAAAGCAATTTGTTAAGCAAACCATAAATTATATATTACTGTTAGTGATACAAAGAATCTGAAAAAAAAAACAAAAAAAAATTTTTTCTTTCTGTTTAATAGAATCTAACATGGCTTCCTCTGTCAATTCCATCACCTTTAAATTCCTAATGAGCTTACATTCACTATGAGAATGTTCACTATGAACGGAGGGATGTCTCACTGTGATTAATTACATGTACATTTTCTTGGCAGTCATTGGCAGTCGCTTGGTAGTAAAATGATATTTTGGCAGTACTTGTACATTTTTTACGTAAGTGCAAGTGAAAAGTATGTTTCGTCTCTGTTTTTAGTGATTTTACTATTCTTAGAGATTTATCATAGTTTTGTGGCCAGTTTTGTAGACAATGACAATATAGACGATGTTCAGTGCGCCTTAAAGTCTGTCAAAAAACAATTACTCTTTCAATTTAAAAAACAAACATCAAATGCCACCGTCATAGAATGTCTGGCTGAAGAAACTATAACAATCTGTCATAAATATATATTTCAGTAATCGAATATACTGTATATGGAGAGAGACAGTAAACCAACATGATAAAATGGTGAATGAGTATTTTGATTTTTTAAAAATATAATAAAATAGATGGTTTTATATT